GGTGTGTTTTCAAGCCCGAGCTCCGTCAGGCCGCAGCGGTCTCCACCCGGCCTTTGAGCACAGCCACAAACTTCCAGGCAAACCCTTCCTTCCCCCTCTCTGAGGTGCTTGTGGGTTTCGTTGCTTCTGTCGTGCCCTGTCCATCACCTGCACGGTCCTCAGCTTTCTGCTTCCAACGCCTGCCGCAGGCACCGTCTCCCGTGGGAGGCACCGGCAGGGTTGGGACCGTGTATAACCCCTGTAGCATCCCTGTGAAAACTTTTGCCCCCTGGGGAGGAAAAGTGCTGCCTTGCCTGTTTGTGTGGTGACGTTAGCAAACCGCGGTGAGGAGACTGGGGCTAACGTAGTTATTTCTCTGCCTGATGTTCCGCAGGAATTCCCTTTGATGGTGGGCTGCGCTGCCTGTGCTGGAAGGTGGGTTTTGCTTGGGGTGCTTTTGTTTCTTGCGAGTGATGCTTTGGGTTGCTTAAGTACACAGAGTATTTTTGAGCACTTAAAATTGTAAACAACAACAACAAAAAATCCAGAACTTAAAAGCCACTCAAAATCGACAGTAATTTGTGGAGATCAGCACTGGCACAATTGCAATAGCATTTACTGACACAGGACAGCCATCTCTTTGGATGACAGAAAGTGGCTGTCTGCTCTTTGTATGAGAACAGCCCTCAGTATTAAGCTAGGAGTGCATTTGCTATTGATCAATCCTACAAATAGGTCTGTGTTGAAAACTAGACCCTGAAATATTCCTGACTGTCGTGTGGCAAAGTACTAGGCTTTCTGGAGAAAGCTCCCAGTATTTTCAGAGAGACAGTTCTAGCTGCTGTGTTTGGTTTGCTCATCTTACAGGTATAATAGCTCATTCTCCAATACTAATTTGTGTGCATCTGTCTTCTGTACAGATCCTTCTGAACTACCTCCCTTTAGAGAAAGCCTTATGGAGCTCTTTGCTGAAGAAACAGAGGTGAGGACATCGGTACTTGCTCCTTTATTTCTAATGATATCTGTGGAGAAGGAGAATAGTTCCTTAAATAATTAAGTACCTTCATAAAATGGATTGTTCTCGTGTGGAATGCACTGTTCTGTCGGCTGTCACCAGGTGGATTGACCTCTTCAGCTGAATTCAACTGAAGAGAAGATCAAATGCCTTCTGGCTGAGCAGGGTGGTACAGAGAGATCTGTTTGAACTCAGTCAGGGTGCTTACATTGACCTAATCTTCTGCTTCATTGCAAATTCCTCTTTTCTTCCTTAAGGGATCTGTATTCCCAGTTCCTAAAGGAAATGATTATTCAGCCTGGGATTGCCAAAGCCAACCTCGGTGTTTCAAGGGAAGATGTGACCTTAGAAGATCACGTAAGTGCTGTTAAGCCTTTGTGTAGCAGAAAATTCCCCAGAGCTATAAAGTGTTGTTCTGGAGTCTGGACACCTGGGCTGCTCTTGGCTCTGTTCTTGGACTGAGAAAACTTTGCCCTGCTAGCAGGAGGGACGGTTCCTAGGTGCTTGTGTCTTAGCAGCCTTCAGTGTGAATTATTGGCAAAGCACCAGTAGTTCTGAAGGGAGCTCTTTTCAGTTATGCAAATCCCTTCTCCCCTGCTTTGGGGCTAGCTGCCCAGGCTACGGGTCTCCTAGGGAAAGGGAGAGGATCGCAAGACGTACGTCAGGCAAAGAGATGCTCTCCTGGGAAGTCAGGTCCATGGATGGACTCAGAGCAGGCTGCTCTGAACAGAGGATATAAAAGAGGCGGGAGAGTCAGGTTGGACTATGGTATGGAAGGCAAGAGACTCACTTATTTCTAGTTCTGCTGCTGGCTTTTGTTTTTTTAATTGACTACTTCCTGCATTGCTTGGCTTTTTCTTTCTCTGAAAGTGCTGTTAAGAGTGTATGTGTGGGGGAGGGAATGAAGTAACTGATCAGAAGAGACTCTAAAATGACACAACTGCTTCCATGACTTGTCCTGAACATTAACTTCTCTGCTAGCTTACAGTCATCTGTGCGTACAGTCATCTGTGCGTACAGTCATCTGTGCGTACAGTCATCTGTGCATACAGTCATCTGTGTACAGTGATCTCTGGAGGCCTTGGTGCTGTAAAAATAGTGTGTTTGTAACATTCCACACGTTCACAGGTTACAGTGATCTTTGAATCCCTTGGAACATTGCTTTTTTTTTTTTTTTTTGCCCTGTTTTCTTCCCTCAGTTAGTTGTTAACTTTGCATGGATCTTGACCTAGAGAGAGAAAAGTGGGTGTGGAGGGGTAGTTAAGTTTATCATATTGGAAAACTGGTCAGATACAGGATAGGCCGCTCATATTGATAGGTATTTCTTTTTTCCTGGGCACAACAGTGGTGCTTAATCAGCCTTCTGGGAGCTGAGATAGAGCGGGATACTTGTAACTAATAACCACAATGCCCAAGTACTGTGTGGGTGGGTAACTCTTACCCTAAGTACAAAGACCAACTCCGTTGTACAGGTTGGAGCTTCAATCAGGAATCTTGTTGACACGTGACAGGGTAGCTGATTTGGGAACAAAGTCATTAAGAGGCAGTGAAAAGGGATTGGAAATGTTGGCTTCTGCCTCTCTAAGTGAACCTGCATGCTCACTCGTTTCACAAGCTCTGATCCGCTTCCTGCACACTGTGTGAAGAAACAACACTAAGCATAGCTAGTGAGAGAAAAAATTAAACCTAATGTGCTAGGAGTGTGCTGGTACTAGATGACGGAGGGACAGCAGAAGTGTTAGAACAGAGTGTATTTACTGAGGATTTTGGTACATGTGAAACATGCTTGTTCTGGTTTCTGTTGTTTATTTCTTTAGCCCCTCAATCCAAACCCAGACAGTCGATGGAATACTTACTTCAAGGATAATGAAGTGCTTCTCCAGATAGACAAAGATGTCAGGTGTGTGAGGCATAACGACTCGGGCTTCTGAACCCGAGTGGTTTGATTAACACTTTGTACTTTGAAAATGAAGTTTAATATTAAATCGAGCCTCCCATTCAACATGGGGCATGTACTTCCTTCTTCTTATGCCTGTTTTCCTTCTGTATCCATCTTAGGAGGCTGTACCCTGACATGGCATTCTTCCAGCGTCCAACGGACTACCCCTGCCTTTTAATCCTGGACCCCCAAAATGAGTTTGAGACGCTGCGCAAGCGGGTGGAGCAGACCACGCTCAAGTCACAGACAGTGGCACGAAACCGCAGCGGGGTTACAAATGTGAGATCTAGGTGGGGGCTGTCCATGGGGAAGGCATCTTAGCTGTTAAGGGGAAGGGTGTTTTTTGGGCTTTTTTCTGTTTCTCTCTCCGCTTGTGCGGTTGAATTAAGCAAATACCCCAGCAGGTACTGTGTAGTCTGTTGGCTAGACAGCTTTGTAGAACCACTTGACGTGCCTGACAGTTAATAGGGAATTATAGGTGTATTTAATTTTAAGGATTAATTTTTCCTGACTTCTGATGGAAGTTGGAGTTGCAGGAAGAGGCGAGTGTTTTATGCTTGACGTGTGCCTTTCCGTATGGGAACAAAACACTGAAGGTTTAACTTACTGAAGTTGAATTTACATACTCTTCCAGAAACTGGATCTCATAAACCTGCAATTAGGAAAAGAGCTGGGTATCTGCTGAAATGTGTGTTGTGTCTTTCCTCTTTCATGAGCGTTACCGTACAAGTGCCACATGCTGTTGGGGAAGGTGGCTTGCTACCACAACAGTTCTATACTTTTCCTCATACTACTAACAAAGTGGTTTTGTACTGCACAGGATCAGGTGGTGCTCCACAACAGTTCTATACTTTTCCTCATACTGCTAACAAAGTGGTTTCGTACTGCACAGGATCAGGTGGTGCAGTGATTCAGGGGAACTGTCTGTTACTATAGACTGCTTTGTTCTTCAGGGATAGCCAGCACTAGGACTTCAGTGCCTTTGTGCTTCCCAAGTTACTTGTCTTGGTTTAAGTGAACACCTGCCTGTTTGGTATAAGCTGCCCAAATCTTTTGGGGGGCTTTACGTATTAAAAGTCAAGCTTGTTACATGTACAAAACTATCCGTGCCAGTTGGTTATCCTGAATCAGCTCTAGTTTTGCCTTGCTCGTCAGGTGAGCTCCCCTCTTAAAACGACTCCTAATTCTCTGAGCGAGTACGAAGTTCTGCCCAATGGCTGTGAAGCTCACTGGGAAGTGGTGGAGCGAATCCTGTTCATCTACGCCAAGCTGAACCCCGGGATAGCGTACGTTCAGGGGATGAACGAAATCGTGGGGCCTCTCTACTACACCTTTGCTACAGATCCTAACAGCGAATGGAAAGGTGAGAGACTCTTTTGGCCACTCAGTAATGGCTGTCGTACTGCATGCTCCCTGCGTAAAGAATTGTTTTGGGAATAAGACTCTCTTTAAACAAATCTGTTTTGACTGATCAGGGCCAAAAAGCAAATACAGCAAGAGATAAGGAGTTTTGGGGACCACAGCAAATTGAAATTTTGGGGACCACAGAAACTGGAAAGTGGGCTGTGAGTGGTGAGGACATGGGACGTGAGGATTTTTGAGGCGTTTTTGCTTGTTTTGCATGGCTCTAAGTTGCACTTCGTGAAACTTAAAATCCATTTAGAAGTTCTTGTTTGCTCATACCATATATACCTGGTAAGAAAAGAATGGAATGGGAGTACTTTGCCAGTTGCTTCTACTTCACGGGAGCTCCAAGGGTGTGTGCTGATGGCGGGAGAGCAGCTGGTGTTCTTGGGCATAGATAGCCGGTTTGTGACCCAATGTCATGAAGATCTTGTGTTGTACGCAAGATCTTGTATTTGCAGTGGCTCTGTAAAATGTTTTTTAAACATTTCTAGTTTTAAAAAAAAAAAAGGGTCTGGTGTTGTCCCAGACCAAGCAAGCCAAGATCTTGTGCGATATGCTACTTGAATCCAATTGCAACCAGATTATGGAGCAAGAACAGTTCTAAGTCTGTGTGCCTCTGTCAGTGATTCTTCTTCTATTCCCCCATCATTTTTTTTTTCACTTTTTTTTTTTTTTTTTAGAACATGCTGAAGCAGACACATTTTTCTGCTTCACCAATCTAATGGCTGAAATTCGGGACAACTTCATTAAGAGCCTGGATGATTCTCAGTGTGGTATTACCTACAAAATGGAGAAGGTCTACTCCACCCTGAAGGAAAAAGATGTGGAGCTGTATTTGAAACTGGTGAGGAACTAGGTGTTTCTCTGAGTCTCTGTTGGAATGCAAGGAGTGAAGCTTAATAGCACATTTAAATGTAAACCAATTTTGTTAAGCTGTTACTGTGCTTGAAGAGAAAGGTTGA